TGGATACTGATGTCTGCATGATATCCAAGGCTTCTTTGAAGGAAAATCTGTTATGGCATTGACGACTTTCACACTTGAATTTCAAGTATCTAAACAAGTTGGTTTGTGACAACTTAGTCAAAGGCATCCCAGAACTGAAGTTTCATAAAGACCATGTATGCGGTGCATGTGAGATGAGCAAACTGAAGAAAGCTTCACATAAGCTAAAAACATAGTTCAATACCGAACGTCCTTTACATCTACTTCATATGGATCTTTGCGGTCCTATGAGAGTTCAAAGCATCAACTATAAAAAGTATGTGCTGGTCATAGTCCATGACTATTCTAAATATACTTGGGTTCATTTTCTGCGGTCCCTTTAGTTGATCTGACAATTCTTTCATTTCCGATGGTGCCAGACGATATGGTGATTTGGCTACAGGTGCTGCTCCGGGAATTAAGTCAATGTGAAATTCGACTTTCCGTAACGGAGGTAATCCTGGTAGCTCATTAGGAAACACCTCGGGAAAATCCCGAACTATGGGAAAATCCTGGATGCTTTTCTCTTTAATTCCTTTATCCATAATGTGAGCCATAAACGCAACATATTCCTTTTTCAAGTATTTTTGCATCTTCATACACGTTACTAACTTGAAATTTCTCTKGGACTTCTCTCCATGCACCACGAGCGTTTCACTTCCTTTCAAAATTCGAATGGTCTTCTCAGAACAACATATCTCGGCTTGATTTTTGGATAGCCAATCCATACCCACAACGATATTGAAGCTTCCTAATCTAATTGGAATAAGGTCTATGCTAAAGTTTTGTTTAGCTAAACGTAATGTACAATTTGTGATTATGTCTTTAGTCCTAACTTCCTGACCATTAGCAAATTCGATAACGAAATCTTCTTTCAGCTTTTGCGACTTTAAACCAATCTTTGGTCTAAATTCTAGGGATACAAAGCTTCTATCTGCTCCAGAATCAAATAGTATGGATGCGTAATGGTCATTCAGAAGAAATGTACCTGTGATCACATTTGAGTCTTGCCTGGCTTTTTCCACTCCAATTGTAAATGCTCGACCTCGTGCTTGGCCTCCTTGATTTCCTTGATTGATTGGTCGTGCTGGGTTAGTAGCTGACTCTAGGTTCAATTTCGGGCATGCATTCCTGAAGTGATTCGGGCTTCCATACTTATGGCATGATTGATTCTCTCTGATCTTGCAATCTTTAGCGAAATGACCTCCTTTATTGCATTTGAAACAAATAATGCATCTCCCGCTATGGTGATAATTGCACTTGCCACATTTAGGGTAAGTTCCCTTGCCCTTTTCTCCTGTTTGAGACTGAGCCCCAAAGTTTCTTATCACTTTTTGGTTTTTGCCTAAATCGTTGTTGGTCCTTTTCCACGATTGCCCTTCTAGTTTCCTCTTTCCACCAAATTTGTCTTGCTTTAAAATCCCAGATCTAACTGCATCATTTGTCAGACGATTTGCCAACACCACCGTAAGTAAAGAGATAATAGCATACAAAGTAGGAGTTACCTACTGGTGGTTTCACAGTTTGCACACCTATAATGTTTTAGGTGTTTGGAGATCAAAACTCCATAATTTCATGTGATTCCACTTTCATGCAGAAGATAACCATATAGTTAACTCTCAAAGGAAGAATCATCCTTTTTCATCGAGTTTT